CTCTGCCTCCCGAGTGCTGGGATTAAAGGCGTGCGCCACCACCGCCCAGCCATACTTTTTTTAACTGAATTTTTTTTCATATGATGGATTCTGATCATGGTTTTCCCTCTCCCGACTCCTCCCTACGCACCCAACTCCTTTTCTTTTCTTTTTCTCTTTAGAAAGCAACAAGCAAGCAAATAGAAAATCAGAATTAGAAGAAAAACCAAAACACACACACACACACACACACACACACACACACACCGCAGAAACACAAAATCAGACACTATAATATACAAGCAAAAGACGAGTAAGAAAAAAATGTTCTAACAAAGCAATAGGAGTCAAAAGGTCTACAATATACAAAACACCATTGATCTTTTTTTGTGTTGGTCATCTACAGCTGGGCATGAGGGCTACCCAGGTGGGTCATATACCCAGCGAGACTCCATCGGAGAAAGCTGAGTTTTCCTATGCAAGTGCCTATCAATTGTGGATAGCTTCTCGGTGGGGGCAGCCTATGTCCACCTTTTCCTCTCAGCGCTGGGACCCTATCTGGCTTGAACCTGTGCATGCTGCCACAGTCTCTGTGAATACACATATGCATCAGTCTTGTTGTGTTTTTTTGGAGTCCTCCCCCCGGCCCCCAGCTCTTACAGTCTAAATGCCTCTTTCTCTGCCTAGCTTCCTGAGGCCATCTACAGTGGTGACCAGCCTGCAAGATATGTGGGTGCAATAGCAGCGCAAATGTGGTGGGAGTAACCAGTTATTCTCAGATTGGATTTAAGGCCCATTCCATGGGATGGAAGCCATGCCTGACACTGCTTAGTGTCTGGATAGGCCACAGGACTAGGGAAAAAGCAAACACTATTGTTCTGTTAAAGGAACAGCAATAAAATGACCCCTGATGACATTCTGCTACACCCATACATCAGTGCCTCCCTCAGCATCATCATATAAGCTTCCTTTTGCAGTAGATGGGAACTGACACAGAGCCTTGCAACTGGGCAATGTGCAGAGCCCGAGAGATCTGAGATTCTCAGTCCTGAGTGGGATGACGTCATGAGATACTCCTGGTTCCCACTGTTAGTTTTGTCTGTTAGCAGTACAGACCCATGTACCTAGTAAACAGCAGGGCTGAGGGCCTGGTAAGTTCTATAACATACAAAGCCCTGAGCGAGGGAGGTAGGATTCACTTGGGGATGGGTGACAAGGTGGTGGTACCAGGGTTTTAACTGGGCTTTGAAGGACTGAGAGGTGTTCTGGTGGAAGATCCACCTCACCTCGCCATCTCTTTTCCTAAACCCGCCCCTTCAAAGCCCACCAAACACAGCTCTTCCCCCAGAGAGGCTCAAGACCACTCTCACAGGGTATATAAGCTGTATCCCAGAAAACAGACCCGTGGTTCTTTTGTCTCCTCTCTGTGGGTCAGGGAATCACCCAGAACGCTTTACTCATTAAACCACGCCTTCTCCTAATTTGGTCTGATTTGGATTGCTGCGTTCGTCCGTGGAGAGGCCTATCAGGGTGCAAAAAAAACCTACCAAGAGGTGGGTGGAGGTGGGAAGGGAGAGCTTCAGACAGAGCTTAAGCAGCGGAGAGGCTGGAGAACAAGATGTTTGGGAGGAGCTGCGGGTCCTGCTGTGCAGCAGCTTGGCTGCGGGTGGGGGTGTGCGTGCTGAGGGGCAGGCAGTCCCAGAGCTGGCCACAAGGTGGGATGGTCATTCTAGTTCCTGAGGCATGTTGAATGGCACTTGCCAGCCACACGGTAAGTGGGCTGTAATGGGACGAGTTTAATGGGGGGGGGTGAGGAGGGGTTGGCAACAAATGGAGATCTGGGTGCTCTGCGGGGGCACGTGGCCATGGGCATGAGGTGTGGCCATGGGCATGAGGTGAGGTTAGCGCAGTAGCTCTCAGATGCAGGGCTTCCCAGATGCCTCTGAGGACCCTGGGCTGAGGAAGGACGGAGGGGCAGGTACTTCGGTTGCAGGCAAATGGAAATGCACTCTGGACTTCAGCACAAGGGAGTTTGTTGGGGAAGTGTCTAGTCTTGGCCTGAGGAGCTGGCTACTGAGTGAGCAGAATCTAGGGGACTTGTTGGACAGGGGAGTCAGATAGGGGCAGAAATACCAGAGTAGAGGATGCTGGGATTGCTGGTGTTCATTGATATTCAGGCTCCCTGCTTGAGGCTTGTGCTTAGCAAAAGCTCCGCCTAAGAGCCTTTGGCTTGGACAAGGCAGGGCCCTCCCTGCCTGTGATCCCTCAGGGAAAGTCATTTTATACACAAAAGACTGTAACATTATGTTAATGACCTTTCCAGTCACTGTGACAAATACCTAGAGCAACTTCAGGAAGGGTTTATTTCAGTTCCCAGTCCGAGGGTCCATCATGGCGAGGAAGTCATGGCGACAGAAGAATGAGGCAGCTGGTCATCATATAGCTGGTCCAGAGCCAGCAAACAGGGAGAGAGATGGGATGCTAATGCTCAGCTCGCTTTCCTTTTTATTCATTCCGGGACCTGTTGTGTAACAGTTTCCTCTGAGATGGAAACATTCTATTCTGCAGAGAAGCTCCTTAAGCGGGAAGGTAAACAACTCAAAAATAGCTGAAACCCACCAGATTCCCTGGGCCCCTCCCTGCCAGAGTGAGCAATAAAGGCTGAGTGCTCTCTCAGAAGAGCGGAGCAAACTCCAAAGGAGACTCTGCGACCAGACCAGCTGCTTGGAAGAAACAGAAACCAGCCGAGCTGCCTGGAAGAGGTTTAGACCAATTAACGGAGTCACGTGGGAAGGACCCTCCCCAACCTGTGGAGCTGCCCGCAGGCTGTGCAGTGAGCTCCAGGTTCCCAACTCTGTGAGCTGTCACCCGTGCTGGGGGGTGGAGTGGGGTGGCGCTCTGGTGATGCAGCTGCCTTTGAGTCATTTCTGCTCCTGTAAGTGACCGCTCCCCTATATTCCTATAAGTAACTCCAATAAAACTTACGGTTCAGCACGCTAGACTTTGGTGTTGGCCATACTTTGGTCTGTCGTGGGCTCCCTTTCTGGAGAAGGTAGAAGTGTGTGTTGTTTGTCTCTCAGGAAGGTTTTGTCACACACCAGGATCCTAGTCCATAGAATGGTGGACACACCCCTGGAGGGTGGGTCTTCCCAACCTGGAAACTCCCCCACAGACATGCTCAGAGGCTAATCTCCTTAGTGATTCTAGACCAGTGGTTCTCAACCTTCCTAACAAATGCTCTGACCCTGTAAGACAGTTCCTCATGCTGTGGTGACCCTCAACCAGAAAATTATTTTCATAACTGTGATTTTGCTACGGTTATGAATCATAATGTAAATATCTGATATTTCCAGTGTTCTTAGGCAACCGCTGGGAAAGGATCCGACCACCCTCAAGGGGTCGTGACCCACAGGTTGAGAACTACTGTTGTAGAGCCCGTCAAGTTGACAGTTAATATGTCCTCAGGGACAGATTTTCCTTTGCCCTTGAGGGTCACTTTCAGAGCTCTGCCTCACCCTGGGCAGATGGAAGCAGGCTCCTGGGCAGAAAGTTCCTGGCATGGCAGCAGCAGAGCCATGTCTGATAGGAGAGAACATTCTCCCCTGCCGGATGAGGAAGGAGCCAAGACCAGGTACCATTTCAACAGGTTAAAGAGAATCCTCCAGCACAGGCCCTTTTCCACTACTGCACACGATTTTGTAGGAACTGGAACAAAGATGATAAGTTATGGTAGACGAAGGAGCTATCCCATGATGACAAGCCGTGTGCCGGGATGGTATTTTGGGTCGGGGCTGGAGTTAGTTAATTACAGCACTACGGAGCTCAGCGTCTCCCAATCCTGGCTGTGCGGCTGGGCTCTCGCACACGTGGATTGTAGAGAAGGGGATTGTTGGAGTCTAATTTCCAGCCTTGTTCCACTAATGGCTCCTTGTGGGATGATGTTAAGTAATGATAATTATCACAGAGCCCGTGCTCTGAGCCAGTCTTGCCATCTGCAGCTGTGGCCTGCGGGCTCTGCCATTTCTCTGGAGATGGGTTGGGAAGGCTGGTCTACAGATGTTTGCTGATCGCTTCCTCTTGCCCTTTGTAATTTGGGTCAGTGTCACCAGATGAACGCGGGGGGCCTTGAGCTTAGCACTGGGGGGTCTAGTTGTTTCGTTTCGCCGTTTCGCAGTCACCCATACTTCCAGGCAGGGGACCTTGTGTGTCACATAGAGGCATAAACGCAGAGCGCCAGCTTTAGGGAATGATGATAACAGTGATGATACGGCAAGTCCATATTTTAAATTCTGAAACAGTTGTGTGTGTTCCTGAGTGTCTGAGTTCTGGGGTCAACCATGCCTGGTTTTATGTAGTGCTGGGGAGTCAAACCCAGGGCTTCATGCCTGCTAGGCAAACGCTACATCGACTGAACTACTTGCTCAGCTCCCAGCCACGTTTTTTCAAAGATTTACTTTATTTTTATTTATGTGTCTATAGGTGTGCGCTTGTGTTGCTATAGAGATCAAGAGAGGGTGTTGGATCCCTTGGATCTGGAGTTCCAGGCAGTTGGGAGCTGCCGGATGTGGGGGCCGGAAGCTGAACTCCAGCCCTCTGCCAGGGCAGAAGTTGCTTTCAACTCCGAGGCTTCTCTTCAGCTCCCAGTTACACTTTGAGAATTTCAGAGAAAACAAAGGACAGCTCGAACAACAACGGTGTTGACAATTTTGTTTCTCCTTGGTGTCCTACATCCCACATCTTCTTTCTTCCCCCTCTTCCTCTTCCTCGGGTGTGTGACTTCCTTCTTTCCTCTTTCTCCTGAGCTCGGAGGAAACTCAGCCTACAGTTCTGTTCCCTTGGGTCGCACTGTCTAGTCACAATCAGATTATCTTCCCGTCATAAAATACCACTTGTATCTATTATTTTCATTGGCTCAGTACCTTGCCAGATGGCTATACCATTGTTTCCTAAATCATCTCTCTGCTGTTGATCATTTCAGTGTGTTTGAAATATTTTTGCTTTATAAATAACATGATGATGGATGTGAGAACAAACTTGTCCATTTCTTTGGGATAAATTCTTAGAAGTTTAGGGATGAGATCGAAATGTCTCTGTTTCTTGAAACAATGTTAATTGCTCTGTTTTAAAATTTATAGTTATTGAGAGAGAAGCCTGTCCCTGTAACTTCCAGGTAATGATGACAGATTGAAGATTCTAATTATGTTCCTCCACCCCTCCTCCCCACCCCACTACAACAGGCTGGGTTTAAAAAGATAGAAACTTTCAAGAACATTCGAGGAGAACAGCAGTGCCGTGTGGAAGTCTGGGAACAGATGGGTGAGTGGCGACTGTTTCAGCAGATTTGAGAGGGCTGAATCCCCAGCCGGTGGCTGAGAAAATGGAAAATCAACCTAATGTACACAGTCGAGCTCTCGAAACATGCAGGAGTGGGTGGTAGCAGGTGAGAGTCTCCACGAAGGGGAGGATTGTTTTAGAAGCAGTCAGATCTGAGATCCCTTTCCAGTGTTCCTTTTCAGGGTGGGACCGCCTCACCTTGTTGTAGCTGGGATGTTATTCTCCAGAAGAGGGGAAACTGAGAACCGGGGGCCTTAGCAGGTGGTTGCCGGGATCACAAACTCTCTCCTCTCAAACTCCTGGAACACTGATTCTAGGATGGAGACCGAAGAAGTCTCTTTTAGAGAGGACAGACTGTTTTCCAGATGGACTTACAGGGACCTTCATAGTTGACTTCTCACACCCACCCATGTGTGACTTCTTTGTGTGTGTGTGGGCATGGTGTGCATCTATGTGTGTGTGTATGTGTGTGTCTGCGCATGTACAGAAACCAGAGGAAAACATTGAGTTTCTTGCTCTGTCACTTTCTGTATGTTCCAGTTTCATTCTGCTATTGTGAGAAAAACAAAAGCGAAAACAAAAACCCCCTGATGAAAATACCTGGGGAGGAAAGGTTTTTATTTAGTTTACATATCTGGAATCCCAGCCCACTGAGGGGAGCCAAAACAGGAACTCAAAGAGGGTGGGGATCTGGAGTCAGGAGCTGTTGCAGAGACCATGGAGGGGTGCTGCTTACTGGCTCGTTCCTCATTTCTTGCTCAGCCTGCTTTCTTATAGAACCCAGGACCAGCAGCCCAGGGTGGAATCTCACCCACCATGGGCGGGGCCCTCTCATATCTATCGTGTACAGCCGTATCTTATGGAGGCATTTCCTCAGTTGAGGTTCCCTCTCTCAGATGAATCTAGCTTTTTCAAGTTGACATGAAACTCTCCAGCAGACCCGGTGAGCAGCAAGACCCAGCAATCCTCCTGTCTCTGCACCCACAGTATCGGAACTCGGGTTCTCGTGCTTGCTTGCACAGACAGCAAGCATTCTTACTCACTGAATCATTTCCCCAGTCCTACTCTTGTGATTTCTAGATAGATAGTTCAGTTTCTCATTAAAAAAACAATTGATGTGTATGTGTGTGCGCCTGTGTGAGTTTATGTGCACCATGTGTAAGCAGGTGTCTGTGGAGGCCAGAGGTCACTGGGTCCCCTGCAACTGGAGTTACAGAAGGTTGTGAGCTGCCTCATATGGGTTCTGGGAACCAAACTTGGGTCCTCTGCAAGAGCAAGTCAATGTTCTTAACTACTGAGCGTCTCCCCGGCCTCCTCCTGACCGACTCCTCTAAGTGCATGAGAACAGCACAGACGGTCAGCTTTGCAAAGACTTTCTAGCCTCAAAGAAAGAGAACAAGGCAAGCTTCCAGAGACCGTGGATCCCTCACACCACACACAAAAACCAGTTTGAGATGGAGTACAAAGCTAACTGTGAGGGGAAAAATAAAGCTTCTAGCAAAAACATGAGTATGTTATCAGGATCTCCAGGTAGGCAAATATTTTTTTTTAAAAAGATAATTTTAGTATTAATTATGTGTGTGTGGGTATGTGCATGTGGGTGCAGGTGCCTGTAGAGGCTAGAGGCATTGGATCCCCAGAGAGTTACAGTTACAGGGAGCTGGGAGCTACCCAGCCTGGGTGTTGGGGACCAAAGTCAGATTCTCTGTAAGAACAGCACTGGCTCTAAACTGCTGAGCCATCTCTTCGACCCCCAGAGATTTCCTAAAATAAGACACAAAAGGCACTAATTATAACATAAAAGATTAATTATTGGTAGCTCATTAAAATCTAGCATTTCTGTTCCTTAAAAGATGTCATTTAGAGAATAAAAAAATCTAAGCCACAGAGCGGGACTAGATGTTTCCAGTTCATGCCTTAGGCAAATGCTTCTATCCAAATCATTCAGGGACCCATTTTACATCAGTAAAACTGCCCCCATTCCAACCCCAAAGATCACTGAGAGCTTGGAAGTCGTTTAGAGAAAAATTTTTTTTTTTGAGACAGGTTTTTTCTGTGTAGCCCTGGCTGTCCTGGAACTCAGTCTATAGACCAGAGATCTGTCTGCCTCTCGCTTCCGAGTGCTGGGAGTAAAAGTGTGTGCATTGCCATGCCGCCTGAAAGTCTTTTGGTAGTGCAAAGCCCAGAATAAGGAACAGAAAGAAAGTCAGAGAATCTCACAGAAATTGAACAAGTAGACCAAGAGCCGAAAAATAAAAAGCTTAGAAAACTGATGGATCATCTCAGAAGCTAGGAGGTCAGGATACAATAGCGATAGTTCAAGGAAACGGCCCAGACGAGAGGACCAGCCCTCAGCCCAGAAGAGTGCAGGAGTTTACAATGTGTCAGGACTGAATTTAAGAATTGTACATCTCAGGTATCCATTTTTTTTTTTCAGTAAGCAGCAGTGAGTTTATGTTTAATCGAGTGATAAACAACAACAACAAAAAACAAAACAAAACAAAACAAAACAAAAAACCAGAGAAGCAATGGGAGGAGAGAGGTCTTCTGGGATGGTAGGAACGACCTTGGTCCCTGATGGGCACCAGCTAGGAAGGGCACCACATCAGAGCAGTGGGAGTCCAGAAAGGAGCCAGGATGTCCATCTAGATGTCCCTTGCTCGTCTACAGCTGTCTTTGCACTAAAAGGATTGTTTATCTTGCTGGGGATCAAACCCTGGGCTGCTCTGCTTGTGCCGGGAGAGCACTCTACCACTGAGCTATGAAATACACAATAAAAATAATAAATTAAGTTTTTATTTATATTAAACATTTAAAAACATATAAATATATTTTTATATATTATATTGCACACATGTGCATGTGTCTGTCTGTCTGTCTGTGAATGTATGCCACATGTGTACTCATGGAAGCCAGAAGGGGACATTGGATCCCTTGTAGCTGGAGTCACAGGCAGTTGTGAGCTGCCATGTGGATACTGGGAACCAAACTTGGCCCTCTGGAAGAGCAGCTGAACCATTTTTTTCAGTCCCTTAAAATATTGCTCTCTCTCTTCCTATAGATCAATCCATAATCTCTCTCTCCTCTCTAATCTGTCATCTCTCTACCCCATCAATCAATCTTATCTATCTAATATATCAACTATCTATCTATCTATCTATCTATCTATCTATCTATCTATCTATCTATCTATCTATCTATCTATCATCTATCTGTCTACCTACCTACCTACCTTGGTTTGGGCCATAACCCTGGAAGACACAATTTCAGACACCATAATCTCGAATATCTAAATCTTGAAAATTTAAGATCCTGATAATAAATTCTGGAAGAAATAATTTAATTTCTTGAAAAAGACTTTTATTCACATTTTAAAAAGGAGATTTGAGAAGAATATTGAAACAATATTTCATGAGCCACTTAACATAACAGACAGGTAAATCATGGCATATATTTTTGCAGCAGTGAGTACCAGACATACTAATACTTGCATGGGTGTACCAGTTCTGAGCCAATGAACTGTGTTCATGGGGACAAAGGCCAAAAGCAAAAGGTCTAAATGAATGTCACTGTTCGTGGTACTGGGTGTGCCCAGCATTATAACTGTCATTGTCTGAAATATAACAAAAGACAACCTAAGTCTTTGAAGAGATGCCACAAAACCCACCATGTGTCAGCATTGTACTCACAGGTGCCCAAAAGAGCTGAGACCTTGGGAGATTTTCTCTCTCACAAATGCAAGCGCACAGAAGGATGCACCTTCATTCACTGAGGACTGGAACAATTTTTATGCATGTGCACAATACCTACCTACAAAGTCCAAGTCTGTGAGGGCGATAATGCATTTCCTCAGACTCCAATTTGCAATACATGCATAAAATGAATTTAGAACTCTCCAGAAGTCTTTACACAATTCACATCCCTCATATTGATGAGATGCTCGGCAATGAAAGAGGAAATGCGCAGCAGAGAGAGTTGTAAAAAGCGACGCCGACGTAGGAGGCCAGCGTTATACACTGCGTGTTTATAAAAACGATTTCGACTCATTTATAGCATATTTCTTGGAGAGCCCGCACAGGGGTCAAGGCTTATTATGGATGAAATGAAGAGAGCAGAGGTGAACCGGCTGCCCTTCCTGCCGATTGTCATCCAGAGGGAAGCGACAGGGTCAAGCTCCGCAGTCATAAAAATAAATACATTGTTACAACGGGTGATGAATACCATAAAGAGGAATTTCAGGTTGAAAAAGACTGTAAAACAAAAGAAGTGGCCTATGCATTAATATTGTTTTGGTAAGGCATTTTCTTAAGTTGCTGTCTACTCACTTTTATTTTCCTTTATTCCAACAAATGGGTATCAATGTGTCTTATTTTATTATTGCTGTGATGAATATTGTTGTATTATTGCTGTGATGAAACACTTAAGACCAAAAGCAACTTTAGGAGGAAAGGGTTTATTTGGCTTACACTTCAGCATTGCTGTTCATCACTTAAAGAAGTCAGGACAGGAACATAGAGCAGGAAACTGGAGGCAGGAGTTGATGTAGAGGCCATGGAGAGGTGCTGCTTACTGGCTTGTTTCCCAAGGCTTGCTCAGCCTGCTTTCTTATAGAACCCAGGACCAGCAACCCAGGGACGGCACCTCTCACTATGGGCTGGGTCCTCCCACATCCATCATTGGTTAAGAAAATGCCCT